CTCTTCCCGCGGTGGAGGAACACCGCCGATGTTGGTGTTGGTGTCAACCTCTAGGCCTGCGAGATTTGGCTTCCTTCCCCCTCCTGGCCTGGCTGACTCTCTGGGGCCCTTACCAGTTCAGAAAGGTCGAGGGGGGCTTGGCCCCTTGTCTTCCTCGCCGTCGCGTCTTCGCCCTTCTCCTCCTCCCACAGGAGGATGAGGAGGTAGTGGCGGAGCACGAGGAGAAGGTAGTGGAGGAGGTGGTGGAGTAGGACGAGGATGAGGAGAAGGAAGAGGAGGAGGAGGAGGAGGAGGAGGAGGAGGAGGAGGAGGAGGAGGAGAAGGAGGAGGAGGAGAGGGAGGAGGAGGAGGAGGAGGTCGAGAAGGGGGATGGGGAGGAGCGGTTGTGCCTGCTGCCTTCTGGAGGCCCCGGGGTTCAGTTCGAAGATCCCCGACGAAAAGCGCCACGGAGTCCCCAGAAGCTCGCGTGCTGAAGCAAGGACGACGTCGCACCTCTCGAACCGATTCGTCCTGGAATCGATCGCGGAGGCAAGGGAAGGAGGAGGGGAGGAGCGAGGAGGGGGAGGGCTAACATCAAGTGTGCAGATTCGCTCGTGGTCCTTTTTGACCTTCGGGAGGCCTCCAGAAGCCTGCGGCGACGACGACGAGGGCTCTCGGAAGTGCCAGATCGCCCCCCGAGGCCCAGGAGAAGGCCCCCAGTCGTCCGAAAACCTGGAGCCTCGATCCTCGACGGGCGGCGGCAGCGGCGACGCGACGACGACGACGACGACGACGACGACGACCACCACCACCACCACCACCACCACCACCACCACCACCACCACCACCACCACCACCACGAAGATCACGACGACGGACGGCGGCGTCGACGGACGGCGGCGTACGACGGACAGGCGTCGGGCGGCGGACCCTGACGTCCGCCGATATGCGGGCGATTTCGGAAACCCTGAGCCCAAAAACGTTTTTTCACCTCTCGGAGGCCCATCTCTTACCTCCGCCACCTTCCGCCGAGCTTCCTTTTCTCAGCGCTGCGCCCAACTACCTTCGGGACGGACGCTTCGTGTGGGGCCTGGTGAAAGTCTACCGGAAATCGGCGCACGATATGGCTATCCATATCGAGAGTAAAGGCCCTCGGAAGCTACGCAAGGGGGCGTCGGAGCGGGTACAGAAAGGCGGTCGCCTCTCAAGCTTTCGCCACCTTCCGCCGAACTTCCGCCAGCTTCCGCCGGCGGAGGCGGCCTCTTCTTGCTTCCGCCGACCGACCCAGCCCCCGACGCCATCCTTTTCTCACGACGTCGACCCACAGAGGCCTCGACCAGTTCCCCGCCTTCCGCCGCGGAAGAGATCGTCATCGTCATCGTCATCGTCGTCGTCGACCCACTCCCCGCCTTCCGCCTCAGAAGAGAGGACAACTCCCTCGATCCTTGAAGGCAAGGTCATTCTCGGAACGCCCCATCTGTGTTTTTGGCTCCGCGACCACTGGCCTCTTTCTCATGGCCAACTTTTCGCCCCGGCTTCGTTGCTGATGGCCCCAAGACCCGCCACTGGGCCCCGGAAGCCGACATCGAGGAACACACGCCCGGGGTGAGATTACCCCAGCAAGGTCCACGAATAGCAGCAAAACGCGGCCATTTGTACTTTGGCATTTTTGTTGTTTGTGCTTTTTTTGTTTTTGTCAAATGGCCGTCCGGACGACAAATGTAGCCGGCATTGAATCGAGAGCACGATTCTTGAATACATTGTGAGGCAGTCTCAGCCGAAACGGCTGCTGGACTGGGCGGTCTCGCGCTCACCGTCCCCCCTGTGGGACTCTTCTGTGGTCCTTTCCCCCAGCTGCAACTATCAGAAGCCTCTAGCGAGCGTTGAATTTCGAGACTCGAGGATCGATCGTCCTGTGTTTTTGTATCTCGCTCATGTCTGCGACGCCGCCGCCAAACTGAACAGCGCGAAGAGCAGGGCTTCGCTCGTGGGAGATTGCCCTGCCGGTCTCTTGCCGAACTTCGACAGCGCACCGAGGACACCAAGTCGCTCACCAAAGGCGCCGCCGCCAAAAACTTCGACAGCGCACCGAGGACACCAAGTCGCTCACCAGAGGCGCCGCCGCACAAAAACCTCGACAGCGCACCGAGGACACCAAGTCGCTCACCAGAGGCGCCGCCGCCCAGAAACCTCGACAGCGCACCGAGGACACCAGGTCGCTCACCAGAGGCGCCGCCGCCCAGAAACCTCGACAGCGCACCGAGGACACCAAGTCGCTCACCAGAGGTGCCGCCGCCCAGAAACCTCGACAGCGCACCGAGGACACCAGGTCGCTCACCAGAGGCGCCGCCGCCCAAGTACCCCGGAGGGCGGAAAGGCGGGAAGCGACGACGCGCGGGCGGACGGGCGGGCGGACACGACGACGACGACGACGACGACGACGACGACGACGACGACGACGACGACGACGACGACGACGACGACGTGACGACGACGGGCGACGGGCGACGGGCGGGCGACGGACGGCGGTGGGCGACGGCCCTCTTCAGCGGCGACGGGCGGATGGCGACAGGCGACGAGCGGCGATAGACGACGGGCGACGGGCGGCGGGCGACGACGGGCGAGGGGCGCCGACGGGCGACGGCCCACTTCCTTGCCGTCGCTCGGGCGTTCGTGTCCGGTGCTTTCGATGTCGTGCGCCTCTTTTTCGAACCTGATCCAAGATGCTCCTCAAGGGTCCTCGCCGAGGAACCTGATATTGCCACGACCCCCGACCTTGGAGGACAAGTGGGCGTGACTTGCGAGGAAGGGACAAACAAAGAAGAGGATGTCTATCAGGCGCATAATGCTGATTCCCGTGTTGTCCGTTTGACGCTGTGTCGCATTCAAGCGCACTATGTTGGTTCCCGTGCTGTCCGTTTGATGCTGTACAAATTTGTCGGGGCGTTTCCGACCATCTTGGAGCCGTGTTGGGCAGTCTTCGGGCCCTGGGGCGTCTCCGACCATCTCGGGGCTCTCCTAGGCCAGTCTTGGGGCCGTCTTGGGGGCCTCTGGGGGCTTCCTGGAAATTTCTTAGAGGCTTCTTGGGGCCTCTTGGGACCTCCTGGGGATTCTTTGGGCGGAGAGCCCAAAATGTCGGTCCCTGCCCCTCCTTCTGGGGCCGTCCCTGAAGCGTTCCTGGGGCCGTCCTAAGCCGTCTTAGGGGCGTCTTAGGCTGTCTCGGGGGCGTCTTCGACCGTCTGGGCGCCGTCCTGGGAGACTAGGTGCGGTATCTCGGGCCGCCTTGGAGCGTTATGAAGCCGGAAAGTCGAACACAGAGAAGAACTGAAAGAACTGAAAGACATCAATCCGTTTTGACTCTTGGGGGTCTCTTGGGAGACCTTTGGAGGACAAGCGGGCGTGACTTTCGAGCAACAACAAAGAAGAGGATGCCCATAGAACGCGTGACGTTGATTCCCGTGTTGTCCGCTTAGGGCTGTGACGCTCTGTCGGGGCGGGCGTCTTGGACCGTCCGGGCGCTGTCTTGGGGGCCTCTTAGGCCGTCTTGGGGGGATCTTTGGGGTGTCTTGGGTCGTCTTCGAGCGTCGGGAAGCCGAACAGGCGAGAACGCGAAAAACCTTCAAAAACTTAGGGAAAACCAGTGAGTTTTGACTCTTGGGGCTCTCCAAGGGAGCCTCTTGGAGGCCTCCCAGACCGTCTTCGGGACTCCCTGGGCCGTCTAGACCGCTCAGTCGGCGACGCGTGGCCCTCTTGGACCATCTTGCGGATCATCTTGGGGCCGCCCGTGCCGCCCGAAAGTGCGTGCGCCGAAATGGGGCCGTCTTCCGCCGTCTTCCACCGGACTTCTGTCGGTGTTCGTCGCGTGGCCGGGGCCATGTCCTGGGGGGTCTCCCCCCCAGATCCCCCCAGGGGAACACTAAACGGGAACCCCTCCGCAAGGTCGGGGAACAACTGCACACGTCCGAGCGATGCCAAGCTTCAAGAACGGACGATGACGACGGGCGACGGACAACGCCGGGCGACGGGCGGGCGACGCGCCGCTGGCGGGCGGCCCGCGGCGGCCGGCCTGTGCGCTCTCATCAGCGTCTCGAGGAGCTCGGTGACGAGCCCCCTGCCGCCGGGGCGCCCAGCCTGCGTCTGGGGGAGGCCCAGCAGGATGATGTGGCCGTCCTGTCCGTCGGGGGGATCGGACCTCTGCACGACTCAGCCCCTCCTCCTCCTCCTCCTCCTCCTCCTCCTCCTCCTCCTCCTCCTGCATGCCCCTCCTCCTCCTCCTCCTCCTCCTCCTCCTCCTCCGCCCCTTCCCAACCGTGGACTACACGCAAGGGTGGACCCGGGCAAGGGTGACCTTGGGTGCGCGGCTTAACGGGGGGCGCGGGGTGGCTCAACCTGGGCGCGCAAGCCGCTGCTACCGCTTCACATTCTCGGCCATCTGGGGACCCGTCTGCGCCCGCACCAGAAGTCACTCCGGCGAGGGGTCACTCTTACGTCTAGTCGACACCAGGGTCTCCCCAGACTTGTGTTGCTCCCATCGTACTTAAGGACCACATCCCAGAAATAATTTCGAGCACCCCGAAGAGTGTCGAAAGAGTGTCGAAACAATGTCCAAACAGCGTCGGACGAGCGTCCCGCAGGGCCCGACACGTGAAAACCCGCGAGCTTCGGTACTTTTCTGGTGCTCGACATTCTTTCTGGTGATAAAGGCTAACGTAGGTTGGAACATCATATTGCATGCTCATTCTGGGGACCTTCCTGGAGCCACTCGTTCCACTCGTGCGTCGAAGTTGCGTCGAACCTGAGTCGAACCTGAGTCGAACCTGCGTCGAACCTGAGTCGAACCTGAGTCGAATCTGAGTCGAACCTGAGTCGAACCTCAGTCGAACTTGAGTCGAACCTGAGTCGAACAGATCCGTTGGGTGGGCCCCAGGAAGGTCTCCAAAACGAGCATCCAAATCATAACCCTGGACCAGGCTCACGGTGAGTTGGCCGCCGGCGAGGGCCACCTGCGCTCCCTGGGCGCCCCACGGACGGTCTGTGGCGAAATCCCGGAGCTACCAGGGCCCCCCCCCCGGGGCCCCCCAGACCAGGCTCACGGTGAACTGGTCGAGGAGGAGGAGGAGGAGGAGGAGGAGGAGGAGGAGGAGGAGGAGGAGGAGGAGGAGGAGGGGGAGGAGAAGGAGGAGGAGGAGGAGGAGGAGGAGGAGGAGGAGGAGGAAGACCCTGGCGTTGCAGAAATTTCGCACCGGGCGTTCTTGCCCGCTTCCGGGCACCGGTGCCTCCTCACAGATCGATCCGGCTCGAAAAACGGTGCAGGAAGATGGGGTCCAGGGCTCTGGGCGTTTTCGTTTTTTTTTTTTTTTCCTTTCCCCCCCCCTCCCCCCAAATTGTCTTTTTTCCGCAACGTCGGATCTCAGGGCACGTCCTTGGCCTGGATGTGCCATGCCTCTGCATGCGCACTGACACTAACGAAGGCCTGAACCTGCTCTGGCACAGCCCGAATTGCTTCCTGCTCTGGAGGCGCCCTGGCCGTCCGCGGTCCTCTTTCCCCTGCCCTCCCGCCCTTCCTTCCGCCACGCAGCGCAGCTCCCGATCGGCACAGAGACCGTGTCCTGCTACAGGCAACGGGGCAAGGAACACATGCAAGACGAGTCGCATTAGAGTTAGGTCGGGCATGTCCTCATACAGGGGGATTTGGAGCGAAACTTGGAAAACAGTCAAAACATATTCGAACAAGTCAAACATAGCAGAAACATCGTCCTCCGACTATTTTTTGACTACTTGTGAATCTCCCCCCTGTAGAGAGACAGACTCGACTCAACATTAGAGTGGCAGTGACAGGCCCTCAGTCTTTCGACTGCGCCTGGAATAGAGACAGCTCTGCTGCCGCTCCCACATCACGCGAGCGTTAGCGCGCTCACGGCAGCAGCCCCGCCACAGCTCGAACGCGACTTGGATCCAAGGCGCCGTCAGTCAAACCGCTGCCCGTCGGGGGGGGGGGGGCGGGGAGCTGGGGCGCCGGCCGACCTGCTCGATCGGCGAGGAGCTCGAGGGGTCCAGGCTTCGAGGAGTCCAGGGTCCTGGACCCTGGGGCCTCCCCCCAGGACGAGGACGAGATCTTCATCCTGACTCGCTTGGTGACAGTCCCAGGGCCCGTAAGTGCCCTGGGAAGCCAAGAACGGCGAACAAAACCCAGGACCCGCTTCCCCCAATGGCGAATGATCGTTCAACCTTGAACGATCGACCGTTTCCGAAACACCCGATCGTTCCACATCGACCAAATCTGGGTCGCCGGCGTAGTTCCATGTTGAACCCCTTGGGGATCTACTGCCCCAGATCAATCCAGACCCGGGACAGTCAGGCAGGATCCCGCAAGATCCAGCAGGATGCTGGAGGATGCTACACCCAAGCCTTAGGTCGGGCATGTCCTCCTACATGCGGATTTCGGAAGAACAATGCCAAATACTCAAACAACACGTGCTAAAACAAACTAAAGGTACTAGGACAATCGTCCCCAAACTATGTTGACTAATTTTGAATATTCCTCCTGTAGAAAGACATGCCCGACTTAACCCAAGCCCGGGTCAATGCAACCCTGGATCTGCAGGATCCCGCAAGATCCTGGCGCTCTGACAGACCCCCGTTTGGGGGTGTGGGGGTGTGGGCGTGTGGGTTTGTGTGTGGGTGTGTGGGTGTGTGGGCGTGTGGGGGCGTGTGGGCGTGTGGCTGCGTGGGCGGGCGCGTGGGCGCGTGGGCGTGTGGGTGTGTGGGTGCGTGGGTGCGTGGGCGTGTGGGTGCGTGTGGGTGCGTGTGTGTGTGTGTGTGTGTGTGTGTGTGTGTGTGTGTGCGTGTGCGTGTGTGTGTGTGGGCGTGTGGGCGTGTGGGTGTGTGGATGGGTGGATGGGTGTGTGTGTGTGTGTGTAAGTGTGTGTGGATGTGTGTGTGTGTGTGTGTGTGTGGATGTGTGTGTGTGTGTGTGTGTCGTTGCCCTCGCGGGGCCCCTCGAGGGCCTCCTCGGGGCCCCCCTCGCGTGGGCCTCGCGCGCGGGCCCCCGCCCCCCTCGTGCGCCCCGAGAGGGGCGCCCCCCGCGGCAGGGCGGCCGCCGGCCGCGCGCGCCGCGGACCTCTCGGCATCGTAGGGAGCCGCGCCGTCGGTCCGACGACGAGCCGCGGCTGGCCGCGCGAGCACCAGACATATTTAGGGGGAGGGGGAGGAGGAGGAGGAGGAGGAGGAGGAGGAGGAGGAGGAGGAGGAGGAGGAGGAGGAGGGGAGGAGGAGGAGGAGGAGGAGGAGGAAGCAGGAGGAGGAGGAGGAGGAGGAGGAGGGGGAGGAGGAGGAGGAGGAGAAGGAGGAGGAGGAGAAGGAGGAGAAGGAGGCGGCGGAGGAGGAGGAGGCAGCATTAGAGGCCTCCTAGATGGGGTCCGAGTAGATGGCGTCGGAGGATCGCGCCGCATCGCCGATGCATCGGCGATGCATCGGCGATGTATCGCCGACGCATCGTGGACGTCGGCTGTGCATCGGCGACGCCGGCGTGGAAGAAATCGGGCTCCGCATCAAACCGCATCGCAGATGCATCGGCGACGCGGCGCGATCCTCCGACCCCATCTGCTCCCTACGACGACGTCGGATATCCAGGGCAGCGATGAGGTTAGGTCGGGCGTGTCCCCCTACGGGCGGATATGGAAGAAACATAAACATACCCCAAACCATATGCAACATTATCCCAGTGCGACCCTACCTAGGAGTTGGAACCCCTAGGAAAGCAGCATTAGTAGTAACAGTAAAGCTAAGCTAACGCTAAGCTAAAGCTAAGCTACAGCTGAGCTAAATCTAAGCTAAATCTAAGCTAAATCCAAGCTAACGCTAAGCTAAAGCTAAGCTAAAGCTAAGCTGAAGCTAAACTGAAGCTAAGATAAAGCTAAAGCTAAGCTAAATCTAAGCTAAAGCTAAGCTACAGCTGAGCTACATCTAAGCTAAGCTAAGCTAAAGCTGAGCTAAACCTGAGCTAAAGCTAAGCTAAAGCTAAGCTACAACTAAACTAAAGCTAAGCTAAAGCTAAGCTACAGCTAAGCTAACACTAAACTAACTCTATACTAAAGCTGAGCTAAAGCTAAGCTAAAGCTGGGCTAAAGCTAAGCTAAAGCTAAGCTAAAGCTAAGCTACAGCTAAGCGAAAGCTAAGCTGAGGCTAAGCTGAAGCTAAGCTGAAGCTAAGCTGAAACTAAGCTAAAGCTAAGCTAAGCTAAGCTAAAGCTAAAGCTAAAGCTAAAGCTAAAGCTCCCAGGGGACTGGGGGAACCGCGGGGCGGATCCTGGGGGAACCGCCCGGGGCGGGTTCCACTGCCTGGCCCTTTAAGCCCACACAGTAAGAACCCTTCTAGGCAGAGCCTAGGTAGGGAATAAACCTGAGCTAAGATGAAACTAAGCTAAGCTAAGATGAAATAAGCTAAGCTAAGCTGAGATAAGCAACGCTGAGCTAAAGGAACGTCACTGGGGGAACCGCGGGGCGGATGCCGGGGGAACCACCCGGGGCGGGTTACACTGCCCGGCCCTTTAAGCTCATATAGTAAGAACCCTTCTAGGCAGAGCCTAGGTAGGGAACAAGATACCCAGAAATTGTCAAAACATCGTCCCCAGACTATTTCTTAAACTATTTTTGAATATTCCTCCTGTGGAGGGACACGCCAGACTTAACGATAGGGACGTCGGGTATCTGGCTCTATCGCTGCCCCGGCTCCTCCGCAGGCCACTCTGGACGCCCGACATCTCGCCATCGCTCGGACGTCCCTTGCCCGTGTTTTTTTGTTTGGGCTTTCGTGCGCGTGTGTTTTGTTGCTCGGTGAGCCAGGATGCTCCTCGATGGTCCTCGCCGCAAGCAAACGCACACGTCCGAAAGATGCCAAGAAATGGGGACCCTGATATCCTGGCGTCTCAATTCTTTCGAGCCGGGCGTTTTCGCATTTTTTCAGGCCCCAAAACCCTCACATATCGATCTGGCTCGAACAATGACGCAGAAAGATGGGATCCAGGGCTCCGTGCGTTGCATTTTTTCGCTACGTCGGATCTCAGGGTACGGAAAATGGGGTACGATGCCCAACAGCAAATGTTGTCCCAAACCGACAGCGGCCGCTGCTAGGCAGGTGTTCTTCTGCCTAAAACGGACAACGTCCGCGGCGACACCGACAGCGAGTCCCATTCAAAGGAGCACGAACTGTTGTCGGCTTCGCACGCATTCTTTCTGTACCCATCTCGATTGTTTGGCCGCGCGCACAACGGGGTAGGGGGAGGGGGGAAGGCTCTTTGGAAGGAGGCCGCTTCTTAGAAGGTGCCAGCCCTACATCAACAGACAAGGCCCGCGCCTGCTAAGAAGCAGGGGTGCTGCTAAGAAGCCTTCCCCCCCCTACCTCCCTCTGCGCGTGGCCGAGAACTGCTGTCGGCCTTCGCACGGCCGTGCCTAGGACAGTAGAGCACCCTCCGAGCACACGAAACCCTCCGCCGGCCGAAGCAAACCGCACATCGAAGGGCACCCTCCCCGGGGAGGCACAACAGCACCCAGCAAACGCGCAAAGCAGTAGGGCCAGCTCCCCGAACCGACCCCGACCTGGACGCCCGAACTGGGCACGGAAAGAATGGGGACACTGCCCCACAACAGATGCTGTCCCAAACCAGCAGCGGCCGCTGTTGGGCAGGCGGCCTTCTGTCTCGAATGGACACAGGCCGCGGCGGCGCGGACAGCGAGCCCGGTTCAAAATGAACAAGATCCGCTGTTGGGCATCGTACCCATTCTTCAACGGGCGAAGAACGGTGTAACATAACTTTTTCGCTGTCGGGGGCGCCTGTCCCAGGGCGGCTGGAAAGTTTGTACCCTTACGGTGGCACCGCAGGGGTACAAACTTTCCAGCCGCCCAGGGGCAGGTGTCTCCGACGGCGGACAATTTATTTTATACCGTTCTTCGCTCGTTGAATTCTTTCCGTGTCCATTTCGGGCGTCCAGAATACCTCGCTCAGGCCGCATCTCCGTACCCACTCGTTTTCGGGACATCCCTGACCTTCCAGGAGGGCAACAAAAATAGCACGCGACTTATAGAGGCCTCCCAGATGGGGTCCGAGTAGATGGGGTCGAAGGATCGCACCGCATCGCCAATGCATCGGCGACGCATCGGCAATGCATCGGCGATGCATCGGCGACGTCGGCGTGGGGAAACACAGTCTCCACATCGAGCCGCATCGCCAATGCATCGCCGATGCATCGCCGATGCATCGGCGATGCGGTGCGAGCCTCCGACCCCATCTACTCCGACCCCATCTGGGAGGCCTAGAACTTAAAAACCTATCCCAGAGCTATTCTATGTCTTGGTTTTAGGCGGTTTCGTTTCGTTTTTTAGGTTTTTAGGCCTCCAGTGCTAAAACATAGCTCTCTGGAAGGTCAGGGATAACTCGGGCCTCCGGCGGCCGCTCGGGGCGATCCGGGCACCCCCGGGAACGAACGCTCTCGGCGAGGGTGCCGCTGCTGGAGAGAGCACTCTCCCGGGCTGGAGGCCCGTCGAGCCCCGGCGAGAACTGTTGAACACCTTGAGCCTCGAACCCCCATTCCGACGGCCCCCCCCCCCCGAACCGACCTCGATCTTGTATCAGGTCGGGCCTGTCCCCCCATACAATGGGGATTTTGGACGAAACATTCAAAGATCCCCCCAAATACCCCCAAATGGGAAAAAATACGAAAGGATCGTCCCCAGACTGTTTTTCCCTACCTAGGCTCTGCCTAGAAGGGTTCTTACTCTCTAGCTTAAAGGGGCCGGGCAGTGGAAAGCGCCCCGGGCGGTTCCCCCAGTAGTCCCCTGGGAGCGGTTCCCCCCAGTCCCCTGGGAGCTTTAGCTTTAGCTTTAGCTTAGCTGTAGCTTAGCTGTAGCTTAGCTTTAGCTTAGCTTGAGCTTAGCTGTAGCTTATCTTTAGCTTAGCTTTAGCTTAACTTTAGCATAGCTTTAGCTTAGCTGTAGCTTAGCTTTAGCTTAGCTTTAGCTTAGCTGTAGCTTAGCTTTAGCTTAGCGGTTGCTCAGCTTTAGCTTAGCTTTAGCTTAACTTTAGCTTAGCTGTGGCTTAGCTTTAGCTTAGCTTTAGCTTAGCGTTACTGTTACTACTAATGCTGCTTTCCTAGGGGTTCCAACTCCTAGGTAGGGTCGCACTGGGATAATTTACTACTACCTTTGAATCTTTCTCCTGTAGAGGGACACGCCAGACGTAAATTTTGTGCCTCGGTCCGACGGTGCGCCTGCTGCGCCCAGGCCTCTCCGCGGGCCGCCGAGGCCCGCGAGCGCGCGGGGCGCGGGGGCGCGGCCTGCCATGGGCGCAGCCTCCGCGGGAAGGTCCGTCCAGACCACCCGCAGCGAGGAGCATCGGCGGCGAGCGAAGGGGGGGACGAGAGGCCGACCTCCTTGCACCCGCGTGTGGGCGCGGCCTGCCATGGGCGCAGCCTCCGCGGGAAGGCCCGTCCAGACCACCCGCAGCGCGGAGCCTCGGCGGCGAGCGAAGGGGGGGGAAGGGAGGCCCCGACCTCCTCGCGTGGTGTGACAAGACATCGCGACAGGGGGGCTCTTCGCTGTGTTCGGCCTCTGGGGGCTCCCGCTGGGCCTCGGGACCGATCCCGATCTCATGCCTGGATCGTATGCCGCGGCCGCGGCCGCGCGTGCCGCGCGCGCGGCGGGGTCCCACTTCGGGGCGCGGCTGCACAGCCTGCTCAGCATGAAGTCCTCCGAAGGGCCCCAGGGGGTGGGGGAGGGAGGGAGGAGCGCGGGGAGGGAGGGAGGGAGGAGGGAGGAGGGACGGAGGAGGGAGGGAGGAGCGCAGGGAGGGAGGGAGGGAGGGAGGAGCGCAGGGATGAGCGCAGGGAGGGAGGGAGGAGCGCAGGGAGGGAGGGAGGAGCGCAGGGAGGGGCCCCATGGAGGAGGGACGGAGGAGCGCAGGGAGGGAGGGAGGAGCGCGGGGAAGGGGGGGACCCGGGGGCGGGGAGGGGGCGCGGGGAGGGACGGAGGGAGGAGGGAGGGAGGAGGAAGGAGGAGGCAGAGGGAGAAGGAGGAGAGAGGATGATGGTGATGGTGACGGTGGTGGTGATGATGATGGGGATTATGGTTACAGCTCCCGAGAAGAGGTCTGGGAGCGATGCTCGTCCAGCTCCCTAGGCATTTGGCATGCACGCCATTGTGATATTATGATGACTATGATGATGAGCAGGGTCGAGGGAGGAAGAGGCTGGAGGGAAGGAGGAGGAGGAGGAGAAGGAGGAGGAGAAGGAGGAGGCAGGGCGCAACATTGGAAGAGGAGCCGTTAGAACGAGACCTGACCTAGGTTAGAGCGTGGAGCGGCTCAGAGCGACCGAACATCAGCTCAGAACCTCCGAGCGCCCAAGGAATCAATCAACTAACTCAACACCTCTAACCAAATACCTGCCCTCGTCGAGCCAACCGCGAGCTCGCCGAGGGCAAGCATCCCGACTTCCGACGTTTCCTGCTCTGTGTTGCTACGACGTGGCTCTCGGAGCTCTTGATCCATTCTCGAGACAAATTCTTCGTCGCAGGCCGTCCTTCTGGTGACCCCCGGAACCTGGAACAACCCCTGGGCGCCCAAATCGTGGAACAGAAACCAGAA